AAGTGGTGCTGTGGCTCAAGTGGTAGAGTGCTAGCCTTGAGCTGAAGAGCTGAGGGATAGCGCCCAGGCCCATAGTTCAGGCCCCACGACCGGACCCAAAAAACAAACAAACAAAGAAACAGTTTTTACACTACTGTCAAAAGGAGTTTTATAAGTCAAAATATAATTGTGTCTCTATTCTTATTTTACTCAGTTGCTTCTTTTGTTTATGTTTACTTTCTTCAAAGTTGTTTTATTAGAACATATTAATACTACAAGGAAAAGGTTCACTGTGACATTTCCATGCATACATGTGATGTAACAGAAAACTCCATTTCTCTCACTGCCCCTTCTTAAAACAATTTCAACTGATTTCATTGCTCTGTTTTCATACATGCATATCAGTGCTTTGCTCATGTTCACCCTCACTCACTTTCATACGTGCATATCAAGTGCTTTGCTCATGTTCACCCTCACTCACCCTCTTTACTCCCACTGGTGCTCCCACACTATTGCCTGTTATTCATTTTTACTTTTTTCTGTTTTTTTTTGTGTGTGTATGTGTGAGACAAGATATTGGTATGTAGCATATGTGGACCTGAAACTCAAGATCCTCTTGCTTCTGTCTCCCAGGTGCTAGGATGAAAGGGATCTGCCACCATGTTCATCTCTAAGTCTTTAATCTATTTAATAAGTAGATTGGCTCTTGATGGTCTATGAGCATTTCCTTTCCTAGTTAGTTTCATTAACTTCTATTTACCTTCCATTTCCTCATACTCCAAGTAACTGAACTTGTTCTTTTGCCTATGTGCTTAGCATGTGGTTTCTCAGATGTGTCAGTCTGGCAAATTGAGTCTCCAGGCAGACTTATAGATAAGCTCCATGCCTGCCATTCCATTTTATTAACTTATTTATGTGGACATTAATTCATCCATAAAAGTGAAGTGAAGATAGTTATTGCCTTGTTTAAAAGAGCTGTCTGTGTTTGCCTGTGTTTCAAACTCACTTGTTTCTCTTTTAAACATGGAACTTGGGTAAGTTCTTTACTCTTCCCATGCTTCAATCACCTCACTTTAACCTGGGAATAATAACAATAACTACCTCTTTGGGTTGTTATGCAGATTTAAAGGCATCTTATGTTATGGAAGTAAACAGACCATGTCAGTGATATCACAAGCCATGAAAATGCATGGTATCAACTAAAAAGAGGATAGAGAAAGAAAAAGAGGACCTGGGTCTGAACACTGAGGATGCAGATGTAGCCAGCTACAAGAGGAAAGAGCTAGTATGTGATATACAATATATTTTTGATTTGTTTCGCTGCATTCACTACCATTTTGCTCTATGTATCATGGGATGAATCTTGAGAGAGTGCAACACCTCAGCTCCCTAGCCATCTGTCTTTGGGTTTAGCGCCAATGGAAGACACCAGCAGAAGAGGATGAGAAGAGACAAAAATAAAAAGATAGGAAGCCATAGCTCCATATGATATGGTAATTATCGCATTCCTCTTCCACTGTAGTCCTGCCAGGTGACCTCACTGGCTTGGTTTGAGCTCTTACTCCAGTTATACTACTGTTTCTTTGTGCTGCTTCATGCCTTAACAGCTTTCCATGATTATTACATCTTCAGTGCCTCAGAATTCATTGTTCAGTTTTGGAACCTTAACCTGAGAAGTCTCATACAATACACTGTTTTACACAGAGAAAATAAGTCTCCATTATTAAACTGAAAAATACAAATTTGGGCATAAATGCAGATGAGGTTGAACATTGCTTAAAGGAATATCTAGGAAATTTGAGACAAGGATAGCACCTGAGAGGAAGAAAAGGGAGAGGAGGCATTGATGTTTAATTGACAATTATTATTGGAGATGGTATATAAATCTACTTAAGAATTCTGGTGGGATTCCCAGGTGTGACATATTGATTCATTCCCCTTGAGGCTGAGGATCATGAATTTCAAGGGAAATAAGGGAAACTGAATGGTAGAATTGATATAGAGTTGGATTTTATAGGAACAATGGACCCAGTTGTGTTTGTTCTCTCTACCTGCTTCTATCAATTCATGTACCAAAGCCCTAACCTTCAGAGTAACTGTATTTAGAGTAAGG